GAGGGAAGGGCGGGGGGCGGGGGGGGGGGGGAGGGGGGGGGGGGGGCTAGAACCAGCCTTTCGGGGGGAGGGAGGCTACAGCTCTGCTTACCCCAGTGACTGAGTCATGGGCAGTCAGTGAAGATAGGACTAGGAGAGGCAAGGCCCCAGCCGCACCCCCAACCCTGCCCTTTCTTCCAGGGAGGCGGGGCAGCACGCTGTGCATGGCCCCCACCACAGGCAGGGGAGGAGGGGGGGTGCACCCCCCAGCCTCCCTGACCCCGAAGCACATGGGGGGCACGAACCTCCCCGGCCCAGAATACAAGGAGGACGGGCGCTGGGGGCAGCAACACTCCATCCCCCTCTCCCATTCTGTAAAGGTCCTGCCTGCAGAGCCAGTCTTAGGGGTGGGCGCGCTGGGCAGGTGTCTGGGGCTGCCATTTTGAAGGGGCTGCTGACAGAGCCAGTCTTAGGGGTGGGCCGCGACTGCATTTTGGCCCGACCTCCTGAATCCTCCCCCTTGGTTTCCCTGGTTTCTCCCCGACCCTTTTTTTTGTCTTGACAAATTTTTTTTTTAAACCATCTGGCTACCCTGCAGTTGGCATTCGGGGGGCAGAGTGTGGGTGGGACCAAGTGGCCGTTTGGATAGCAAAGTCATTCCCCGCTTAGCATGCCCACTGCCCATGGGCTGAGTGTTGGGTTGTTTTGTTTTGTTGTTTGCTGACTAGGGAGCAAGGCAAACTGCACAGCCTGTGTCCTTCCTTTTCTTCCCACCCCTGGACAGCTGGGAGCAAGAGCAGGCTGTGAACTCTGCCTCGCTTCCTAGTCAGCAAAAAGAGGGGAAAATCCCCCCCCAGGGAGCAAGGTAAGTATGGCTTGAGATGGTGGCGGGGGGAGGCGGGGGGGGGGAAAGGGAGGCTCTAGGCTAGGACAGTCCCAGACTCCCCAGTCCGCCTCTCTAACCTGCCAGGCAGCCTGCAGAGAGCCCAGGGTGCCAGGCTGGGAGGGGCAGAGCGCTGCCTCAGCCAGCAGTTTCTTGCCCACAATAAAGGGAGGGGGAGAGACAAATTTTTGTCTCCAAAACTGGATGTTTGCCGTGACTTCTGTCGCGTGGCAATGTGGACACTTTCCAGGCTTGGTTGCCAAAAGGGTGGGTTTGTTTGTCTTTGTGCGTGACAAAGTTGCAAGTGTAGATAAGACCCGAGTGTTTAGATGGAGCCAAGGTGGCAGGACTGGGACCCTGGCCGTCCCTGGGGGGGTGGGAGGGGTGAGATGCAGGGCAACCCTTGCTCCACAGGCCCTGTCCTGCTTCTGCCCTACTCCCACTCAACCCCGGCCTCCAAGCCCCGCCTCATTCCACCTCCTTGCCCAAAGCCAACTCCTCCCAGCTATGTGACCCAGGGGATTACCGGGGGAGGGGGGTGGCATTGGGCAGCAGAAGAGGTCCTCTCCCCCCCCCCACTATGGCAGTGGGAGCCATAGCAACCCAGCCCCCTGCTTTCCTCCGCCCAGCCCCCAGCCCACTGCATCCCACTTCACCACAGTACCAAGAAGCGGAGAGCCCTAGGGCCGGAGCGCTCTGCTTCCTGCTGCCGTGGGGAAGACAATCTCAGCAGGTTGTCCCGTTCTAGCCACTGGAAGGCGGGGGCAACCCTTGCTGTGCCCCGTGCCAGGTCCCCCACCCCACGTAATCCCAGAGGGCACAGCAAATCCCTCAGATCCCATCCATAAGACGGTTGATGCGGCCGCTGTGGGGCCCTGGAAGTGCAGGGCCGGTGGAGGCCATTCCGAACAGACGGGACTGCTCTGACTAGGACCTATTGGATGTCTGACCCACACGCACTGTGCGAAAGAAGACGGTGTGACCAATACTGAATGTCCACAGCTACCCATTGACATCCGATCTCTGGGAAATGAGTGTTGGAATTGCTGATGCACAGCTGAAATGTGTGTGTTTGCTGTAGCCCAGCTCTTTGTCATTTCCCCCACCCTGGTTTAATGGGAATCCAGTCCCATGGATGTTTTGAATTCCCTAGCTCTGGAGCTAGTAGCTGCTCTAAACCAACTGTCCTTTCTGAAATGCCTCTTTGGAGGAGTATGACAAATGGTTAAGCTATGTGGCGGCCACTCTGCTATTTCTAGGCCCCCATCAATTTATTTAGATTCCCTTTAGAAAATACAACTGGTAAATGTTCTAAGGCAGCAGAACAAATAAAGAACCCTCTCCCCATGAAGGTTATTTGCCATTGGCTTTAATGGGCTCAAGATCTGGCCCTTACATTACTTTAAAAATAATGTACATAAAATAACAAATGTGTAACCTACTCTTTGAGGGTCCATAGATACGGGTGGAATTAAAGTGGAGTAACTCGATTGTGCAGTATCGCTCCTAGAGGAACCAAAAGTCTGTGAGAGAAAGGTTGCTTTCTGTTTCTTCCTAATGGAAAAAATAAACATGGTTAAGTGGAGAAATAGACTTTTAAAGGCTGAATGTACTTGAATCACCAACCTCTTCTACACTTACGGGGACAACAGAAACTCCAGAGACCAGCAGGGAGGAACTGCTTTCAGGTTTCTTTCTAAACCTACAGGAAAGAAATATAAATCAACTGTTTTTAGAGCTGCCTTCTCGTCCCTTGGCAAAATGGTGGCTAAGTTCTGAACACAGTAAGCCAATACAGGCTAGAATCTAAATACAGGCAGTCCCCGGGTTACGTACAAGATAGGGACTATAGGCTTGTTCTTAAGTTGAATTTGTATGTAAGTCGGAACTGGCTCCAGATTCCGCCGCTGCTGCTGAAACTGACCAGGGGCTGACTACAGGAAGCTGGAGGCAGAGTTGCTCTGCGCCCAGCTTCCTGGAATCAGACACTGATCAGTTTCAACAGCGGCTGAATCTCGAGCCTGGGACAGAACAGCTGGGCTGCCAGGTAGGTCCCTGCAGGACCAACCCGGCAGCATCCCAGCTGCTCTACCCCAGGGTCCACAACAAAAGCCTGGTCTGCTGGGGGGGGCGCACTAGCTGCGCCCCCCCGCCCCCCAGCAGACCAGGGACACCGGGAGCAAAGCCGCAGCGGCGGCGGAGTCCCGCGCCTCCCCGGCTTTGCCAGAGCAAAGCCTCAGAGGCGCGGGACCCCTCCGCCTCCCCGGCTTTGCTCTAGGTGTCGCTGGTCTGCTGGAGACGGTCCCCAGCAGACCAGGGGCACCTGGAGCAGCTTTTCTCACCCCGGAGGTTGAGGTGGCGGGACTGCTGCGCTCTGGGCGGTCCCGCTGCCTGTGAGCTCCGGGGCGAGAGAGCCCCGTTCGTAAGTGCTGATCCGACATAAGTCGGATCCGCGTAACTCGGGGACTGCCTGTATATATCTATATATCTGCACTGATGTGCCCATTTCTATACAAGTCAGACACCACTCCAATCCATTTCCACCTCTCAGGAGGGCTGGGGTTTAGGGGGTTTTTTGTGGCTTCTTTGTAAAGACAGAAGATGTGTGAAACTTGGATCTGGACCAGTGTTTGCATTCCAAACACCCACACAGTTCAGGAGTATTAGAAGCAAGGGTGGGACTCCTCTTTATTATTGTGGCTCATAACAATAAAAAAAATAGTTGGCTGGCCTCCATAGTTTCTATGGTTTTCCTTGTCTCTCAAATCTTTTACCTGGAGACTAATCAGAGCAGTGCACTGATGGTTATAATAACTGCTGGAATGCTGTAAATTATACTTGAGACATCTATTTTTTTTTCTGAGTATGTTAAGGGCTTAGGTTTTCACTTGCTTTTCTACTGACATTTTATTAAGCAGCAGGTTAAACAGCAGGTTCTGTGAATAAAAATAGTTATTAGAATACACTTTTTTGTGTTTTTTCTAGGTCCGCTTACCAGCCACTAGGGGGAAACTATACTCAGACACATCTGGGGAGAAAAATGGGCCTTCTGTTTGACTCTTTTGGAGAACATAGTGGAGAGAGATATTTGGAGGGATGGACTGAGAAATTGGGTGTGTGGGGCAGACTTGGCTTTCAGTGGGGTTAGGTTTCTAATTCTTGTTATTGCTGGCTGAGATCGCTGCTGAAATGTGACCAATATTGTTTCCTTGTACTCCTCCCCGCTCTCCCTCTCTTTATTTAAAAAAAGAGACATCTTAACTGAGGCACGATTAAGATACTTGCCCAGAAGTTCAAAGTCAGATTTGAACACTGGCAGTGCCTGCTTTTCCCACTTCTGTGATCAGTCATGCTACCTGCTTTGAACCACAGTCAGAAAAAACACATGAGAATGAATCCAGGGTTCCTGACTCAGTCCTTGGCTTTAACTACCAGACCAACCTTCTTAAAGCTCTCTCTGACAGTGGTGGGTACCCTGCATGCCCTCTCTTTCCCCTCTTTGCAGCAATTATGTTCTGGGAGGGTGGGGGAAGTGTGGAGACAGAACACAAATCAGGTGATTCATGGGGCTCTGAAAGTGCTGGGAGGGAGAGGGAGGGGTAGGTAAGTGTAGAGTTCCAGTGCCCCAGTACATGAGAGGTGTGGGGGAAGGGAGCCAAGACAGGGTGCGTGGGCTGGTCACAGGCGGAAGCCTAGGGGAAGTGAGCCAAGACAGGGTGCGTGGGCTGGTCACAGGCGAAAGCCTAATGCAGGCCTGTACGCCGGGGTGGGTGTGGCCGGGAGGAACAGGAGTGATCGGACACTCTGCCTGGAGGATTTCCCCATTGCTCCTATTGGCCAGAACCTAGCCAATGGGAGCAGCGGGAGGCAGTGCCTTGGACTGGCATGGAGCCTGAGGAAAGGGGTGCCAATGTAGACACAGCCTTTTAGTATAACCAAATCACTTTACCAATCACTGTTTCCACTCAAATTTTTCATTATTAACCTCTCTCATGCACATTAATTGCATGACTATTTTGAACTCCTTTATATTTTAAAAAAATTGCGGTCCACATTTACAAAAACACCCTCCCTCCTCCCTAGAAATTCCTCTGTATGGGCTTATAAAGAGCCACATATGGCTTGCAGGTTGCCCATCACTGAATTTCAATCTTGCGGCCCACTGAGGCAGAGGAGGCCACTCCCCCTTTCATTAGTCTTGGTTGCCCATCCCTGCCCTAAGATGAGAGAGAAGGCTACTTATTATGAAAGAAATGCGTGTGCTATGACTTATGTTACCTTTAATGAGTTTGTGGGTGGTGGGTATAATAGCCATGGGTAGGCTCAGCCATGATTGGTGGAGGAAATTTTTGTTTTATTAGGCCTTATTCAGGTTTTGGGTAACTGAGACAGTGGTATATGCTACTCAGCTTCCTTGAGGTCTGGGGTGGGGAGGTGGCATAGCTGCGGCTGGGCTGGGGTTCTTCCACTCGAGGCTTTGGCTAGCCTGGGTCTCTTCCTATTGGGGGAAGGGTGTCTTGGGGTTCCAGTCATGGAGTGAGGGGAGAGCCGTGGGCATAGAAAGCAGAAATATTTTACATGTAGATGAGTCCTTACATTGAACAGTACAGAAGTTACACTGTTGTAACTATACTGGTAGAGTTACAAGTAGTGTGACTTCCCAAAGTTATACCAGTATGAAGGCTCTTATTCCCACAGAAGGGGAATAAGATATCCTGGCAGAAAGCTTCTTATTCCAGTATAACTGTATCTACTGCAGGGGTTGCATAAATATTAAACAAACAAACAAAAAAATCACACACCAAAACAGAATAGTTGTACCGGTAAAAACAAAAATCACACACCTAAACAGAATAGTTGTACCGGTAAAAACAGTGTGTAAAACACTAATAAATGGCAAGCCCAGATGGTATTCACCGAAGAGTTCTGAAGGAACTCAAAGATGAAATTGCTTTACTAGGAACAGTTGTATGTAGCCAATTGCTTAAATCTACCTCTGTACCAGATGAATGGCTAATGTGATGCAGATTTTTTTTTTTTACTCTCCAGATTTGATCATAGCAATTACAGGCTATAAAATCAAACTTCAGCACCGAGCAAATTGATTGGAAGTATAGTAAAAAAACGGAATTCAGACACATCAATGAATGGGATAGGTTGGAGAAGAGTTAACTTGACTTTCATAAAAAGAAATCGTGCCTCATCTATTAGACTTCTTTGCGGGGGTGAGGAAGAGCCAATAACCATGAGGGTTCAAGAATGTGGTATACTTAGTCTTTCAGAAAGCCTTTCACAAGGTCCCTCACTGAATACAGCTGGTCTCCGACTTATGACCACCTCCACTTACGACCAAAGCGGTCGTAAATGCGGTCCCCAAGTTACGAATGTGATCCGCGCTTACGAACAGCGCGGTCGTGTGTAACCCTATGGGATCCGAGTTACGAACACTTTGAGTTACGGCCAAGTGTTTGGTCCGTAACTCGTTCATAACTTGGGGACCGGCTGGACTCTTAAGCAAAGCAGGCAGTCATGGGATAAGAAGGAAGGTCCTTACAGTCCCATGACTTGCAATCATTCCAATTGTACAATCCCAGGCCCGGTGGGCCAACCTGTAGCACAGATATGGACTATCATGTGTACAAATGGTAGAGATGTTGGTGCATGCTAGCAAGAATACATGGAGTGATAGAAGAGCCAGACTGTTACAGGTCAGGCTTTGGGAACATGAGTGATTTGCTCTTTCTATTCCGCTAACAAAGCTGCAGTTAATAGAGTTTCCCTGATCACTTCTGTCACGCTCCCAACCATGATAAAAGTCACACTGTAGTTTGGAAAGTAGTGGTCCCAGTTCTACAACTTGCATATATGCCCCTATGTGAATGTAGACATCTTTTGCTTACATTAGAACCTCGCCTCCTATCCAAGTCCTTCTGATTTATAACATCCTGGTTTCCTGCTCAGTTTGTGTCTGGTGACATGTCGCCTGCATTGCAAATGCTCCTGTTGGCCAAAAATTCAGTTGTCTCATTAAAGTCCATTCACCCTATTCTCTTAAGCAGAATTCACCTCCACTGGATCGCCTTTGCAGGCTTGTTAGTATTCTGTACAGAAATGATCATGGGAAAAGGCAAAGGTCAGCATTCTCAAACTTGGGTAGGCCTTTAGCTTTCAGTGCAGCCTAGTGGGTAGCATGGTGGATTGGCACTTGGAGAGACCTGGCTTCTAGTCCAGCTCTGTCATTGGCCTGCTGGCTGACCTTGAGCAAGTCAGGTCACATCCCTGTGCCTCAGTTTCTCTATCAATAAAATGGGATAGTGATACTTACCTCCTTTTGTGCCATGCTCTGAGAGCTACTGATGAAAAATGCTGTAGAAGGTGTTTATACTCAGGCTATCTCTATACTACTGCCAATGTCGTCAAAACTTATGTTACTCAGCGGTGTGAGTGACATAAGCTACGGATGCAATTCTATACTATTGCCAGTGTCGTCAAAACTTATGTTACTCAGGGGTGTGAGTGACATAAGCTACGGATGCAAGTGTTTACGTGCACGGAGCTATGTCAATGGAAGAGTGTCTCCTGCCAAAATAGCATATCCTGCTCGCAGAGGTGATGGTGTGGTATTTTTTTTTAAAATATATAGATATAGATGGGAGCTCTCTCTCTCCTGGTCACATACAGCATCTTCATCAGATGCACTGT